AAACCGGCCTAGCCGGATTTCTACGGTTTGCAGCGACGTCTTGTGTGTTTTGGAGTTGTTTTGGTCCGTTTCGAGATCCGCTTCTTCCGTGGGTTCCCAGTTGTGCCCAGAAAGGTTTCTCAACTCTCTAGTTACCCATTGGCGTTGAGGGTTTTGAGTCGGACTCTTGCTTCATCGTGATTGAAGTTGAGAGCTCCGTTTTGGGTTTCGGTGTGGCGGGTTGGTTTTCCGCTGTTGTGGTGTCCAGAGTGTGATCTTTGGTCTTCACCAAAAATATCCAGCCAACAATTGGCTCGACGGCATCACTGTTGAGAGGCTTGGTGTTTCAAAGGGTGATTTTGGGATGGAGGCTATTTCAGAAGAAATTTTGAATTGGCTTCCATTCATCCCCTCTGGTCGTCTTTCTTGGTCCTTTATTTTTCATTTAGTAGGAAGCAATGTATAAATATTTACATCGGAGTGTACGTCAATGAAAATATGAAGAAACAATAGGAAAAAAAACAGTAGCCTATGCGCTAATCTACTACAATTTCTCTCGGGCTAGTTGGAGAATAGAGAGCTGTTTTAGATCATTGCGGATCACCTCCCGGAACGGTGGTTCTTAAAATGCAACTTTACAGATAGACTTAACTTTGTGTATATACAATCATATATGTAACTTTTTTTTTTTGGGGGGGGCAAGAATATTAAGGTACATAGAACAGTAGCATCAGGATTTTCATTCTTCTATCTATCTATATGAAAATTTTCATGTGCATACAGACCGATATAGATGAGCGTAAACCTGCTTGGTCCTGTGAACAATGATGAGGCTCAAGCCGGCTCCAATAACGCACAGCAACGACATAATCAGAGAGCTGACAAAGAAGCAAACAGACCCTTCACACTTGAGTCCATCAGCAAAAAAGCCTGCATTATGAAGCAACCTTGGAGACGCCATTGCCATGACCTGACGATGTTGGTGAGCTTGTTTCTCAGCTTCATAATCATACAGGGTACTCGTAATAAGGCCTGAGAAGATAAGGGATCCTGTGGGGTTTGCTAGAGCGAGAAAATTGTACATCGCACCAAAGTGTTTTATGCCGAAAAGTTCAGAGACAGCAGCCGGCACAATGGCCCAATGAGCTCCATATGCAAGTCCAACCAGGAAGGTCCCGATATACATGGTTCCTGGCCAAGCCATAGCAAAGAGGAAATGTGCAGTAGCAATCAGGATCTGAGAAACTGCGAGTGCTATGTGCCTTGGATACGCATGTTGCCTGATTAAAACACGAGATAGCCAGTCAGGAAGAAAAAAAAATACACAGAAGTGACTGAAAGTGAATGGTAGATAATCAAATTGTAATGTCTGAGCTTAGTGTTGATACCTGACGATGATCTCAGAGAAGTAGCCACCTCCAACACGACCAAGGAAGTTCCATATGCTCGTCAATGACACGAAGATATGCACATCTTTGAATCCAACAGCCTGGCTCATCTGACCCAGATTGTCCATCACTGTCAGCCCTGATCCTGACCCAAGCAAAAATGACATCCAGATAAGCCAAAAATCAGCCTTCCCCAGTGCCTCCATCATGGTGAAGTTCTCCCCTAGGTGTGGTCTCCTGTTCCTCCTTTTAGATGGAGGCAATGCTGCGTCAATGTCCCCACACTTGTCTTCCACCTCACTTAAAATGGCCTGTGCATCTTGTGAAGTGCTTCCCTCTCCTGTTAGTGGTTCAGATTCAGATAGTAGGGCCTCTCCAATCGGATAGTCAGTTTTCGACATTAGCGTCAAGGTCACAGGGATCGCGATCGGCGAAACAAGAAGGACGAACAGAATCACAGTGAGAAAAGCTACCATATCGTCAGACAGTTGCAGGAAATCTTGGACTAGCTTGACACCAGCAAGATATGAGGCGAGAAGCAGGCATATGGTGTAGATGAACACGAAGCTATTCTTGTCAGATGGACGCACCTGCAGGTGACCTCCAACTGGCCTGATAACAAACATCATAGCAATGGCAACCAGCGATGGACCAACAGCGATCATCAAGATAAGCGAAGCCTGGTCTGTTGTGTGCATTACTGTGTAGACTTGTGTCAGAATAGCGCTGGTTAGGCCCAGGAATCCTTTCAGGATGCCCACCATTGGGCCCCTGCTCCTCGGGAAGTTCTGGACGCATGTCACGAGCGAAGCTGTGTTGAAGTATGTGGCGCTGTTGTTTCCAATGAATATGAGAACGCACATCTGAATAACAAAACAATGAAGAATCATATGTTAGGTTCCATATATCTTTGCTTCGCTCATTTGAACGTGGTGAAATGAACGCTTAAAAAACATTAAAGGTTCCCAATTTTGTAAGGAATCATGGATAGCGGTGGATTGTATTGCTCAAGTTTAATTATCAGAAGCTCATGCCTGTACCATTTTTTCCTCTCTTGATTTTCTTACGTGCAAACATGACAATTCAGAAGTAGATGGCTTCATTAAACAAAGCAAAAGAAAGCAAGGTATGAATTGGATGAATTATGTAAATCTCATCTAGGAAAACATAAATTTATTTAAAAGTAGTATCCAAGCTAACTCAGGGATAAAAAACCAGGGGAGATGCAAGGAATATGAAAACAAAACAGGATTTGCTGATTCTCTCCATCAAATCCTATGCTCAAGCGAACAGGACTCCAGCCAGTGGTTGGCGCTCGTAAGTCGTAAGTAGCACCCTGCAGCCCCGGTTGGATCCCTCGTGGGGACGAATTGTTAGGCTGGGTTGTAGGGCCGGTCCTATGATCTTGAGGGCCCTCTGGCGAACTGGTCACCATACCTCCTCTAAAATCTTATAATATATAGGTGCTAATTTTACTTGCAAAACGAAAATAATACCATAATATATTTTTAATCTAACACCTAAATTAGAAGGAAACCATAACTATATGAGTACAAAATACTAGAAGTAGAATACTATATAAATAATTAATTTGGATTAAAAAATGAACAAGAAAAAAATACCTAGGACGTGGACATGAATTGAAACAACTGATCGCTGAATGCAATTCGCAAGGATGCAGGAACTAAGATGTCATCGTCGTGGAGCCTTACCCGGTCGCCGCCGTCGTGCGCCGTTCTCTGGCGGTCTAGCTCTCGGCGCGTCGCGAACTCATGAGTCGTGATCAGAGTGTGCGGCGTGGTTCCTCGCCTCCTCTCTGCCTTGGAAAGAAAGACCAACGTTGTCTTCTTGGACGGCCTGGCCAATTCTCTGCCTATCTTCTGTCTTCCCATTAGTTTGCAGATGATGCCTAATGGACTATTGAGCTTGGGGTTTGTATACCTACACTTGGGCCCCTCCCCGGCATGGGCCCTCGGCCGTCGCACCTCGTGCCCTCCCCCTAGGGCCGGCACTGTGGGTTGCAAAATGAGTCCCTCATTGACAACCTAAAGTTGGTTCTGTACTACCAGGGTTCAGGTGGTTTTGGTCCGATGCAAGCTGAGTTTTTTTCTTTTTAATGAAATGTTGTGGGGGTGGTAATCCCCACCGACTGAGTTTTTTTTAAAAAAAAATCCTATCCTCAAACTTTTTAGGGTTCCTTGCTTTGTTCTGCCCAATTCGAGTTGGCACTTCGGCTTCATCTTCTCCAACTCTAAAGAGATCACTGTGCATGTGCGCATCCAACACAGAAAGTTAAACTTGATAGTAGTACATGATTTGCGTGAGATCACTAAGTGCTAATGAGGCATTGAACTCAGCCACTTATATATGTATGTGAGTCAATCGTTTAGAATACGGTTTCCACCATCCACCTAACGTGTACTGAATTTACTATATGTGAGTCACATAAAGTGCTTTTGATCACATTGACAACAACAATGTAGCAGGAGACAAAACTATGATGATCTGCTAGTTACCCCATAAGCAGACCGAGACAGACAGCTCTCTACTAGCACACAACATACGAACTGTGTTTGGATGGACTAGGAATAGTTGTTAGTCATGGCTAAGAAATAGCCATCTAAAAGTTAGCCAACTAGTTGTTAGCCTATACATGTTTGGATCATGGGCTAATAACATAGGAAGAGAGAGGAGAGAGAATATGAGATATAGCACTTTTAGCCCCTGACATTTGGTTTTGAAGGACTAGTGAACTAACAACTATAAGTGGATTTTGGATACCCTTTAGCCCACCCATTAGTCCTCTTGTTTGGATCCTTAAGAGCTAAACTTTAGCAATTTGTTAACTCATGGGATCCAATAAGACCCTAACATCTCCGATGCTAAATTTCAGGATGGTAACAATTTGAATATGGACAAATAAAGGTAGCAGTGGTTAGCTGTCCCTGTAGGTGGTTGGACGGAGCGTGGTAGCACAACCATAAAAAAAAGGAGATTTGTATATGACCCCCACATAAGTGATCGACAAAGACGACCTAAATAATAGTTGAAAGGAATGCACATCTATGTGGGTTGGTCAATTTGAGAAGCAAGCATCTGATTATAGAACTCATAAATCATCATCACTGTTATTCCCGTTCAGACTTTAGACAGACCATTCTAACATAAGTTGCATCGTCTCATCATTAGGGTTTTCGGACCGAGAGGTAGCATCACTTTTGAAGAACTAACCATTTTGAGCACAACAAGGAAGAAAGCTTAAGATTTTTTGTTCATTATTAACATGCTCCTCGTATATGCGATGGACTTGCTTTTACCAATCTTAACGGTTGTCCCCGAGGAATGGAGCAATTTGGCAGACAACAAAATTGACAGCCTGCGCTGTAATTTAGAAACACGTCTCGTATCCAAAGTTCAACTTTAAAAGAGTAATAGATCCTCATAACACTAGCTTATTGATGAATTAATAAACAAAAAATAGAGTGATCATCAGCCAATGAATAATAAAGCAGTAATGATATATAAAAGATTCCATTTTTCATCAAACAGCAACCAAAAAAAGAACCAACGCAACACAAGCAGAGGATGCATGCAACCAAAAAAGAACCAACACAGGCAGAGCATGTCACTCACCATCCAGAGGTGCAGCGGCGGCGCCTGCCTGGCGACGATGAGCCAGAGCCAGCCGTAGCCGAGGAGGTTCTGCGCCGCGCCCATGAGCAGCATCGCCCGCGCCGGCAGCGCGGCCGAGAGCGTGCCGGCGACGACGCCCACGTAGCCCCCGAGGTTCTTGGCGACGGCCAGCGCGGCCACCTGCCGCTGGTTGTACCCGAGGCTGGCCTTGAGCACCGGCGAGATGGCGCCGAAGAGGTAGCCGACGCCGGCCATGGACTGCACCCACATTGCGGCTACCAACACCAGCCATCGGTTCCTGGAGAAGGCCCTCAGCCTCTCCGCGAGCTTCCCCATGGGAAATGGGAATGAATGACCCTGCGCCTGCGTTTGTTACAAAAGGATGTTTTTTTCTCTAGGTGTGAAGCACAAGATGCACTTGGCTGACAAGCTAGCTTATGAATGATATATTAAGTAAATAAATAAATGCTAAATTATGCATAATATTGCGACATTGCGACGTGTCCTGTTGGTGACCTTTGCAAACAGTTGTAGGCTACTACAGACTACGATTTCGCCAATTTATTGTGATATATATGTTTCACATGTAATGTTCGTCGTAAACACTTGCTTTACTTTAATAAGAGCACGGTAAGGGCCTGCACCCTCCTGTTTTCCTAAAAAAAAGGTGAATAAATAGACCACGATTAATAAGAAGTCTTCTCTCTTTTTTATATAAAGGAATAACTTCTAGCATGATCATCCTTATGACCACGAGAATCAGACTACCTATTACATTAACTTAAAACAAAACCAAAAATGTCCACATCAAAATTCAATTCTAACATTATTCGATCATCCAAATGAAGCAAAGAATTACATAGAGGATATTCTTAGCACACGATGAACTTAGAAGATTTGCTCCTTGTTTTCTTCATGCTACTGTAATAGCGCCCAAAGACGAAGCTAGTTTGTTTCCCTAAACAGGACCTGCAGAAAAGTTTTAGGCTGACAATTGGTAAAAATCATTTCCTTTTTGTAAGACATATTGTCTAACAAATGGTTGCACCTCTTAATAATACTATAATAGCTATGTACTGTTTGATTTGCCCCCTTTTTTGTGCCATCCATTATAAAGAATTAGCATAGGTACAATCAAAGAAGAGGTGTCCAATTGTTTCATCTCTACAATGAAACATGTACTATTTGTTCTTGCTCCAATTCTTTCTTGCTAAATTATCTTAGGTTAATATCATCACTCCTGTCTTTAGGAACCACACAAAAAAATAGTTTTTAGTGGTATCCTTAAATGCCAAATTTCCTATAAGACTATGATGTAATTTACTATGAAATAACAATTATTTTTCAAAAGCCGAAAAAGGTATCCCTTTCATCTTATAAATTATTTTTTGCAATTCTTGCTACGAGATTGTTCCACTCTAACCACTTATTCCCTGTTAAAGCCTGTCTAAGAGAAACATTACTAAGAGTGGAGGCCAACGTAGCTTGCTTTTGTCAAATCATATTACAAAAACATTTGGGTGCTTTTAGAGGATGTCTACCTAACCAGGTATACTCCTAGAACTTGATATGAGAAATATCACCTAGTTTAAATTTTCCTAGAAGAATTAGTCCTTCACTCCTATTAAAACTCATCCAAAAATGAGAATCACAAGCCCTTTTGAAAACGGAAAGACTAGCGCTGGACGTCCAGACGCGGCGTCCGTCCGAACGCCCACGCCTACTGCCCAGTAGGAAACAGCGCATGCGACGCACTTCCCTCGATGCATGCGGCCAACGGACGCGTGCACCGCGCCTCCTCCTCCTACTTTGCCTGGGCAGGGCCCACAACACATGCATGTAGCTCCTGGCCGCCCACCGGCACGCTGCTGCCGCACCTGTTCGCGCGCTGCTACTGTTATGGCCGCGCACTGTTGCTGCTGCTACGGTACGCATGCGCCTGCGCATGCATGTGGGGGGCGTTGCGCCCGCTTCTCTTCCTACGCACGCACGCTCGAGGGGACCACCTCCGTCTGCACCCACTTCCCACGCCTGGTCATGCAACATTTGCAACATAAAGCATTTGCTGCTACATATGTCCGAAATAGTTGAAACATTACAAACATACGCTTCCGCCACTGCAACATATGCAACATCCAGATAAAACACTTGCAATATACGTTTGAAACAGCTGAAACATTTGAAACATACACTTGCAAGTTGCAACATACATGTATAGCCAGTGCAACATATGCAACATCTGGATAAAACACTTGCAAGTTACGTTTGAAAACAGCTGGAACATTTAAAACATACACTTGCAACACACTGTATAGCCATTGCAATATATGCAACATCCAGATAAAAACACTTGCAACATACGTTTGAAACAGCTGAAACATTTGAAACATACACTTGCAACATACGTGTATAGCCATTACAACATATGCAACAACAGATCTACTTTTGAAACATCCAGATGAAAACAGATGCAACATACATTTGAAACATATGAAACATATTGTTTCTACATGTGCTCGTCTACTTGCTCCCCTCCAATAGAGGCTCGTTTTGGATATGGTTGTCGTAGAAGATGTCCACCTATAGGCACACGACGTGAGGCGCGAGGGGCGGGCGGGGGCGCACGGCGCGAGGCACGGCCGAGGATGCGCGGCGCAAGGCACAAGGCGCGCGGGCAGGCAGGTCTGTCCCATCCGGAAAAGGACGGACGCCTTGAGGGTATCATTATCATTTTGGAAACCTGTGTTAAAATCTTGTCTTTAATATATTTATTCCGGAGAAGTTGTTGCCACATACCATCTTAATTACACAACTCAAACAACCACTTACTTAATAAACATTTATTTTGAATGTCTAAGTTTTGAATACCTAAACCTCCATGCTCTTTGAGTTGACAAATGATAGATCACTTTGCCGGTCTGTATTACCATACTGCTACAAAAATCTGTATCTATAGCATTTATTTTGAATGTCTAAGTTTTGAATATCTAAACATTCGTGCTGTTTGAGTTGACAAATGACAGATCACTTTGCGGGTCTATATTTCTTTTTTATGTTGACCATACTGCTAGAAAAATCTTGACCAACACTGTTCAATCACTGTGTTAAACGGCTTCACAAAACACGGTGGTACAACCATTGCTGTTCATTTCCTATAGCAACTTTTTTGCTGCTCCCCGTCTGCGCCGCATCAATGCGCCCACCCGCGCTAGTAGAACCTTAATCGTGGAAAAAAGTTTAGGCTGTTTGGCTGATGGTTCATACAGCTGATAAGTCGGCTGTTCGGTTGATAGTTTATGCGGCTAATAAGCCGGCTAAAGCTGATTTGCTGTGAGAAAAAAACATTATTACATGGTTAATAAGTTAGGCTGATAAGTTCGAGCAAACAGCGCAGTTATCACCGACTTAATAAAGGTACTCCATGTTGAGACGCCGGAGCCCGCGGCAAAATAAATGGTTCGAAGAAGAATAGAACTTGAGGTTTTATAGATACTCATAAGCTCGGTACTTTATAGTGGTACTCCACAGCTACACTGCTTAAATATCGCTCCTGAGGCCATTCTAGTTTTTCCGCTGGAATGGAGTATTTCGATATCAGCTTATATCAACGTAATAAGTACGTAACATTCTGGACTTTAATAAAAATAGTAGTATATATAGTATTTTTATGTAACTTTAAAAATACAATATAAATTTAGAAAATTATGGGACGTGATATTTATTAATCAGGTGTCTGAAATTTAGTCTCATCTCAGGCGACCCATATGCTGATGGGAAATCAATTGTAGATATATTCTTCCCCTCCTTTGCTTGTCCGCTGTTTGGACACAACCAACACAGCTGGAATAATAAAAATCAACTACCTAACTGATAGAAAACGTGACAATTAAAAAGACAAATCACAAGACATGGTTTACAAATTTTTTTTCTATAGTCAAATAATGACAAAATTACCTATCTCCAATAAAAAATAAAGTATTTGATGGTTAAGAGAAGTGACAATTAAAAGAACAAATCACGAAACACAATTTTTTCTGTAGTTAAACAATAACAAAATAATCCATGGTCTCAACATCAATAAAGAAGTGCCTGTGTCTGGTTAATCTTGCAAGTGTTTTTTGATGGTCGCAAGAAATGCCAGGTATAAAAGTGCCCTCGTCCTCCAGCAACCCTATCCCCGAATCAGGAAATTAAACGAGTTATTTGTTTTTTTTTTGTCGGTATCATAAGAGCACTCCTAACGCAAGCACTCCTAACGCAGAAACTAGTACTGGTTTCTATATTTTAAGAAACTGTATCATGAAAACCATATTTTACAATGCGGTTTTTTCATCCTGGTGTCAATCCACTCATTCACACCTCCCGCATCAGGATCCTCTGCACCAACTCTTCTTTCTGCCCTCGCTACGTCGTCAGCGCGCGCCCCCGCCACGGGCACCCTGAAACAAATTGCCCACCGTGAGCATCCTGAAACAAATTGCCGCCATGTGCCAAGATTGGCAATCAGAAAGCACCACTAGGCTGCCACGCTCACACATTGCCTAGACCTTGCTGCAAGGCTGCCGCAGCGCATAGTCGATTAGTCGTCCAGAGAGCTTCGTCGGGCTGCCGGTGTGAGGGTTGAGCGGTGAGGAAAGAAAGCAGCCAACCTCTGTCTCTGCAAAACTGCACCCACACAACAGCAAGAGAGACCAAGAGCAGCGCCGGAGAAATCACGACGCGCTTGAAGATTCTGAAGCTGCAACGTGAGGAGTCCGATGGTGCAGAGTCGCTTTGCGCCGCGAGCACCATAGATTTATTATTCACTTCGACGCGGAACTGCCGGGGGCTCTGCGAGGCGGAGGGAGTCTTGGATCAGGCGGGGTGCAGCGAGCCGGGGCGGGGCGGCCAGCAACGCGCGAGCTCTGCGGCGGCGCCGGCGGCCGATCACGCGCGAGCTCCGCAGCGGCGGCGCTAGCAAGCCGTGCACGAGCTCCACTGGCCGTGCGCAAGCTTTGCGTACACGGCGAGCAGGGCGGCCGCACCCGAGCTAGGCAGCTGCACGGGATTGGCAACGCGAGATGGGCTGCCTCGTTTTGCGCTTAGACGTCGAGTCCAAACAAGAAACGGTTTCCTCCTCCCTGCCTTAAATGGCAAAATACTGATGTGGCATAATAATAAATGATCATAAAAACTATAATAATGTTTGCATCGAAAGTGTCCTAATACAATTGATACTCTCGTCACAAACACCATCACCAAGCTTTTTTTTTTCATTCACAACTTAACAACTACCTCTGCCTATATAATACGCGCCACGTGCACAGGTGAGTCCTCATTTGTGATAGAATAGGGAA